GAAGCAGGGGTCCTAATCAGGGACAGGGACTTGGACATTCTGCTCCTGAGGTGGAGGAAGGGGCCATAAGCCTAGGCACGCAGGCAGCCCCTGGGTGCTGCAAAGGGAAGACGCTGATCCTCCCCATGCCTTGACTTAGCCCAGTGAAAGTGATTTAGGACTTTGACCTCTAAGACTGTCAGATAGTGTGTGTTATTTTAAGCTTCCAAGTTTGTGATAACTTGTTACAGCAGCAATAAGAAAAGAATACACAAACTCTTAACTCCTGTTACAGCTGATTAGTCCAAGGGTGGACAGCTTAGACAGATTGTACCAGATTCTTCCTCTCAGCTACTGGAAAGTGGACTGGCTAAAGCAGTGGTGTGTCAAGCTCGAGTGGTACCAGGCACCTCTCCTCCCATAGGGAGAGCCGCCGGGAGGAGGCGGGGGGGCATGCACAAAGGCCGGGAGACAAAGGCTTGATGGAAGATGGGGCGTCGGGGGTCCCTGTTTCAAAAGAGCCTGAGGCTCAAGACCTCTGCCCTTCCAACCAATAGGCTTGGTGGCCCCTCCCAAGAGCCTCCTTCCATAGAAATAATCACCGGATCAGGTTAAACCCATAAGGTCAGGGGCCCTCCCTGGTGGCGCAGCGGGTTAAAGCACGGCAGTAAGAAGCTAAAGCCACTTCAGCGTGAGTTCCATCCCCTGTCCTGGAGGTGACCCACATGGCGTGGCAGACCCCTCCTGGCCCGCCCACTGCTCCCCTCAGCAGTGTACTTCATCAGTCGGCCTGTTCTGCTCCCTACTGTGTCTCTGGTGAATCTTCTCACCACCCCTGCACCTCTGGCCTGTACCCCAGTTCTGTATGCAAAAACAAATCAATCTTAAAAAAAAAAAAAAAAAAAAAACGTGGTCAGGAACTATTTTATTTAATAGACTGCCTGGCTAAGTTTATTATCTCTTTTTATATCTATGTAATCAAGACCAGCCTGCCATTTTCCTTCTTTCAAGTATTCTTATCCAGTGTGGATAATCAGTTTTAACAGCATCTATTTTCTGGAAGAATTTGTCAGGAATCACAATGTCACTTTTTTTTTTTTTTATTCCCCTGAGAAAAATGTGTGTTGTCGTCTTTGGTGGTGCTTTGTTATCTGCTCTGTCAAAATCAGTGACCCAGGTATCAGTGGTTTAAGACCAGTCAGGGGCAGCTGGGTGATTCTTCTCCCTTGTCTAGGGATCATCCAAGTCTACTCAGTGGTTTTTAGCTGGCAAATGCCCTCCCCAGGTGGGCACACCAGGGTCGGGGGCGTCCAAGAGCAGCTTGGGACCTGGCCTGTGAGTGTCCAGCAGATGCTCAGGAGGTCTGGGGAGCTGTGTGCAGACTGGGCACTGTCACTGGGACTTCCACAGGGGTGAGGAAGGTAATGTGGACTTTTAACAAAAAAGAGTGGCAATTTCCCCAATCCTTTTGAGCTGAATCAAATGAGGCAAAAAGCATAACTGGCCTAACAGTCTCCTGTGATATTGGAATTCATATTGCACGAAACAAGAGAGCATCTGCCTTCAGTCCACGTGCCAACCACAGCACAGAGGGTTTTTGCCATCTCAGTGACTCCACGAACCCCTTGACACTAACCTGCGGAGGTGAGGAAGAGGCATCGGTGTCGCCGGCCTAAAGGACTCCCATTTGGGAAGGCAGGATTTGAACCCAGAAATATGTCCAAATACCAAACTGGGGAGATTTCACTGCATCTTACTGACTTACTGAGTGATTTTTTTTATAAGTTTATTTTTACATCATTTTGTACTTTTTTTCCATCTCAATTGTAATCCCCGCGGGTTTCCCATCACCAAGTCACCCGTGCCATCACCATAATCCCATGCACTTCCCTCCCCACCACCCCGTTTTTGATCCCATTCCCCACTCCACCCCCACAAAATGTCTCTGGTATATGGCTGTTCATTATTATTATTTTCTCGCCTGGTCCATTATACTCCTGCTATGAGCAAAACCATCCGGTATCTTTCTTTCTCTTTCTGGCTTATCTCACTAAGCATGATCTTTTCCAGTTCCATCCAAGTTGCTGCAAAAGACATGTTTCTCCTTTTTGGTTGCTGAGTAATATTCCATTGTATATATGGACCACATCTTTTTAACCCAGTCATCTACTTTTGGGCATTTGGGCTGCTTCCATGTTTTTCCAATTGTAAATAAAGCAGCAATAAACATGGGGATGCCAGTATCTTTTTCAATCAGTGTTTTTGTGTCTTTTGGGTAGATACCTAGGAGTGGGACTGCTGGGTCCTTACTGAGTGATTTTCAAGAATTAAAAATAAAGGCAAAGAGGAGCAAATGCTAAGTCTGAAGCACTGGGGAGAGTATGTGAAAGGTCCAGGGTCTGCCTTGCCTGGTGCCAACTTCACCATCTCAGGCTGGAAGGCAAAACGAAGCTGGTTTCAACTTACCAAAATTATAGTGGTTTTGATTGCACAATCTTGTAAATATACTAAAAAGCCACATAATAAAAGATGAATTTTTTTTGGTGTGTGAATTATACCCCCAAGAAAAGATACAAGGTGAGAGAAGTGTTATCTGTATAGTGTGTTATTGTATATAATGAAGAGTATATTTACTAAAAAACCCCACCATACATGTAGAGTCCAACCCTGTAACTATCTCTATATCCATAGGGTAGGGAAATGTTCTAACACAAAGTATTTAAACTCTTACATACTTTTGAGTATTTAAAAGTATTTGAGTAGGGGCTCACTGGGTATCGCAAATGTGATACAATCAACAGCATTTCTGCGAGTATCAGAAATATTTTTATAAAATGGGGACTGGCTCCGTGATGAAGCAATGAACTAGAGAAGCAGTTTGGGAATGACCAACCACATGCGGATTCTCATACTGGGAAACAATTTGGCCTACAATAGATGCTAGCCTTTAAACCTAAAATAATACCATTTTGTAGGCAGCTTTTCTGCCTGCTTGTGGCTCAGCTAGAGTCCTTTATACTTTTCTCTCTCTAATAAGCCTACTCTTTTTCATGTAAAATAGCATTTTATAATTATTTTAAAGATTTATTTACTTATGCATACAGAAGTAGGGTACAGGCCAGAGGTGCAGGGATGGTGAGAGGATTCACCAGAGACAGGGCGGGACGCAGAACAGGCAGATGGACAAAGTGCTCTGCTGAGGGGAGCAGTGGGCGGGTCAGGAGAGGTCTGCTACACCCTGTGGGTCAGGATCGAACTCACATTGAAGCAGCAACGGCTACGCAGAGCTGTGCTCTAACCCACTGCACCACCAGGAAGGGCCCTAATTCTTTTTTAACCCATTGTCTTAAATCTTGACTCTGCTCAGTCTGTTTGAGGTTGGGGGGTTGCAGGGGAGGGGGAGTCATCTTTCACTATAAAAGTCACAAGGGAAAAAAAATCATAAATTGAAAGGCATACTAAGACTCAAAATGGGGGGGAGGGAGAGAAAATTAGCTTAAAAGCAAACTGCAATGCATAGCCAGGATAAAAGGGTTACTGGAGGAAGAAACCAGACTTTCCCTTTCATCTTGTCAAAGAGAAAACTCGAAAAAGCAGCCGTTTCTGAAAGGCTATCTGCGTGTGCGAATGTGCTGGGGCCTCGGCTGCTCTCAGGCAGGACAGAATTCTCCTGAAGGAAGCTGCCCAGGCCCAGCGGTCACCCCCAGAAGACAGCAAGGCCAGAGCGCAGCTCTCAGCCTGCTGCGGGGCTCAGAACACCCGCTAACTCCTCCCACGCCCTGGCAGAGGGCTGAGGGCAGTGGGAGAGAAGCACCAAAGCTATAAAAAACCCTCCACTCTGATTTCCTTCTAAGGCGTACTGAGTCACTCGGTGCTCCAGCCCCCAGGGCCACCGGGAAGCGCAGCTCCAGTCGGAAATATGTTCTTTCCCGGAGCTGCTCAGAAACCCAGGGGTGCCGTCAGCAGGCGGTCTCCGCAGGCTGTGGTGGCAGCTTCCCATTTCAGTCCCCGGGAAGGAGGCACATCGGCAGCGATCAGTTTCTCAGTGACCCACATCCCAGTAGGTCACAGTCCTACTAGCACGCTTGCTGTCCACGTCACCTGAGCAGCCGCTGACCGTGGACACGCACAGGCCACCTCAAGGCAACACGCTCCCACTCTGCTACCCACCTTTGCAGCTCCCACTTAAGTGCCAAACGATGCCTCGCCGGCTTGACTAGAATCCTAGCGAGTCAAAGGGAGAAGGCACCTCGCCCAATCGTCTTCCTGTGCCAGGGAGGAAACCGAGGCCCAGGGAAGGGAAGGGTGCTGCCCGAAGCCAGAGAAGCCAGGCCTGCTTTCGCAGCAGAGGGCTGTCTCCAAGGCGGCGTCCACATATCCTTGCGTCAGCTCCTGCATTTAGGGGGGGCTATTGAAATACCCCCTGGATTTGTCGCAAGTCTTAAGACCAAAACAGGGGTGCACCACCCCCGTGATCTTCCCCTTCTGAACCACATCACTTGTATGCAGTGGATACTTCTATGCAGTAAGGACATGGCTGAAGCTGCCTGGAAAAAGCCTTCTCCAGGATGGCGGTCAGGCGGTGGCCCCTCCTTCTGGAAAGGGTGCCTGGGTGCCAAGGTCCGGTTAAGGGGAAGGTGCCAACTACTTAGTGGAAGCAGCAACCTGCCCATGTGCTCGGCTGCCCTGCTCTGGTCGCAGGCAGAGGTGTGCGCTGGCTTAGTTCAAAGCCCTGGCCTCATCACCTTGTTTGTAAAGTGTACTCTTAACACAAAGGGAAATCCTCTAAGTTTTCTGCGCAAAGGCACAGACATGAGTAATCCGATTGTGCTAAAATGTCAGCTGGTGACAGCCAGGAGGAAGGCCAGAGGAAGTGGGGGGAGGCGGCCGCTTTGGCCTTGGGACCCCTCAGCTCAGACTGTACCAGAGCCCAGGGGGGCAACTGCTTCAAGAAGGGGGGGTGTCTCATCCACCAAGCCCAGCTCTACGAGCTAAAAACCTACACAGTTCGCAGTTAGAGATGGAGGGCTGCAGAAATGTTTATTGAATACAGTGCCAGGTTTATAAATAAACTTATTTACAATTTCCATAGAATTGGTCCCCATCAGAGGTGGTTAAATCTCCAAACAGTAAATAGCTCAAGATTTACAGAAACGTTCAAGTACATCTCCTTTTCCAATAGCCCACGGTGAAGGGTAACTCTGCTAACAAAGGAACTACCATATCCTTGCTACACAAATGCACATGGTAATAGATTTGGAGAACGAACACACACTCCACCCTCGCCACTACCTTCTTACTCCAAGGGGTACGGACCGCAAAGAATCTCTCCTACAGGACTTCAAGGGGTTAAAAAAAAAAAAAGTTAACTGCCAGCTGAAGGGATAGATTAGATTAAGACACATTCGTGGGGTCTAGTCACTGCCAAAAAGAGAAATGTATTTAGGATATACAGTAATTAATTCCAGAGTTTAAAAGAATCAAGTGAACAGAGAGCAGACTTGACCAAATGTACATTCTTTGTTCAGGAAGTTCCCAGTATGCTGAGGGCCTAACGGGCGGCCAGGGACCGGCCTGAGCACACTGGGCCTGCCCAACCGCCACCGTTACGTGGTTACAAGTACAGCCAGACATGCATTTTATAAAGAGAATATAAAAATATGTACAGTAGCTAATTTCCGATGTGTTGCAGTTGCCGAAAGACACCAATTAAGTGTGTGCAAAAATTCGTTTGTCAAAAGATCAGAAAAAGCCTTCCTTGGCACGAGCGCGTCAGAAGCCTGTCTGAAGTAGCGAGACACATTTGCCTTGCTCCACACTTACCCTAAACAGATGGAGAACAAAACTATGAAAGTGTTTGCCAAGAACTCAGCAGTTTTTTATGGCAAGTCTCAGGCTCAAGCGGGATGCCAGTTAAACTAGTCACTTTATATATATAAATATATGTATATATTTATAGAGCAGTTAGAAGTAGGGGCAAGAGTTTACAGGAAGGTGCTACCCAGCTCTAAGAGGACTGCTACCACATCCAGCTACCACACCTCGCTCAGGGACTGCCGACGCCCAGCCCCTGGGCTGACAGTCCCCTCCCCTGCCAGAGGAACAGGCTAGTGGGCTGGGCTTCACCTCTGCACCTAACCGGAGCTCAGCATTCCCTGGGGGCCCACTTCTGGTCCCACACAGGACAAGAAGAGTCCTGGCCACACGGGAGTGTGGTTCAGAGTCTTTTAGGAAAAGCTGTGGGCCCACTAAAATGGAGTGCACCTAGGCTTCCAAAAAGACTAGGTGAGAGGATGAGAGAACAGGCCATGTTTTAAAAACAAGTCAAAGCACCCCCAACCCACTGAGACCACCGGGTCACTGACCAGAGGCCTCAGACAGGTCTAGCTGGGCCATTTGACCTCACTGCAAGGAGCACGCAGGTCTTGTTAACCTACTTGAGCCAGGAGTCCTGGGCCCTCCCATCTCACCAGAGACCCCCAAGGTCTCTTAGATGTTCCTCTGAGATTCAGGGTGACAAAACCCAACCCTAGTCCAGGGTGCCCACTCTCTTGCACCAGCCACCCAGTCTCGGGAGCAGCAGCAGAGGCAGATGGGCGCACTCCTCTCCACTGCTCTGACCCGCCCCATCAGCAGGGCCGCGTGAGCTGCGACCCAACAGCGAGACAGGGAGCAGGAGAGGGGGAAGCCAAGGGTCTCCGTACCGTCAGCCCGACTGCACCAGCTCGGCTGCCACCAGCTTCTCAGGGGCTCGCCAGTAGCCTGCCTATTCCCCGGCAAATCAAAGCCTTCCCTACCCCCCTGCACTGAAAACCCAATCTCCTTACTAATAAGATACAGCTAACAGCAGAAAAACCAACAGCCTTCATTCCTGAAGTTCTGCACTCACACAATACAGCCCTACGGGGGCTTCTGAAGGATACCGATCCCACTGCAAAAAGCAGTATCCTCAGCTGCTAGCTTTGCTTCAGGTTTATAACTCAGTACAAAATTCACTCTGGTTGGGAGTTTTCCTCTCAAGCTGGGGGCTAGCATTAGTGATACCTGGGGGATAGAAAGCAAAGTCGACTTTAAGGAAAAAAAAAAACCATAGGTTAAGTAAAAGAACCATCTTAAGTCAAAAGGTGACTGATAGTGACTTTCAGGTACGGGATGGTGGCTGAGAAGTGACTATGGCTTCTATCACACGCAGTGAGGGCTGAGTCACACCCGAAATCATGTCTTGCACAGATGGTCTCAAGTAGTTACATGGAGCAGGTAATCAGCAGCACAACGGACAAGAACCCCTAGAGACATGCTTGAGAGTTTTTTTCCTTCATTGAAACTCTGCTGCCTGAATAATCACTACACTACTGTGACTCACCTCTGCCCTCCCCCCGAGGAAAGCCCAAGTCGACCTACAAGCGCATAAAGACGGTGAAGCCATCGCTATCGCTTGGTGTAGGCAAGGTCTGGGGCTCAGAGGCTGACGCCGGGGTGTCAGGACGGCGGAAACTGGAGCAGGGGGCAGGGGCATTTAAAGTGCAGTGGCCTCCCTCCGACTGCCTCGTCCCGTTTAGACCTCAGCTTTACAAAGCATTTAACACCGCTTTAAGTTAATGGTCTTTTTATTGGAAAAAAAAAAAAAAAGACTAGCATGTACAACTTGGAATGGACGTAAAATGTAATTTCTCGAACAGCAATGTTGATGGTTGTGCTGAAGTCCACAGCCACAGCCTACTCTGCTGGCTCCAAGTCACGGTTCAGGAGGCTTTAAAAACAGAGAGTCCAAAGATGCTCCCTTGACAAAAAGTTTGCTTGGTTTTTTTTAAAAATTTGTGTGAATGGTGACGGCCTGACACCCATTTTGCTCTAGCACAATGCAGACCAGGCTAAGCCCCAAGTGGGCGTGCCACCAGGGCGTGCCAGCGTGGCCGTACACGGGGGCGCACCGCCCTCGGGCCGTCTAGATGCCACCCTGCGCCTGTTCTCCCGCACGGAATCCTGAGGCAAGCCCATCTGAAATGTGTGTTTTCGATAAACCAGCTGTGACCATTTATACTAACAAATTGAACTAGAACCTATTTGAATAGGTTTTGAATTTGTTTTTTCATTTTTCATTTTTAATACAAATGCCTGACTTGTGCTCAATTGTCAAGCTGCATGCATGAAAAACTGGCCAGCCCAAACGGTGTGGTCATCGTTAGCAAATGGAGCTGCAAGGATCCACTAAGTGCTTCCTTATCATTAAGGTACAAGTATTCATATTGTAAAACCGAAGTGTAGCTGGGTCTTTAGGGGACAGGACCACCAACCAGCACATGCAGATTGTGTGTGTGGACGGAAGGTACTTCTGACATTCAGTTTTGCTATATAGAAACAGATGAGTAAATGAACTTTTTTTTTTTTTTTTGCAAGAGGTAAGTAAAAGATTCAATTTGATTCTTCTAGAGGGGGGAAAAAGGAATTGTTGAAAGAAGGTCTTCATTTTGCAGTCATCATCTGTACGAATTCTGAAAAGACAAATAATCATAACTTTCAGTTATCTCAATGGACACATCATGTCTACTCTGCATTAAGAACAACCAGCGACGACCTCGCGAAGCTGGTGTCAGAGCCTAAAGGGAAAACTAGTAAGTGGGAGACTCCGCGTACCTTCATAGTTGACCTGTCCATCCCCATCAATATCTGCTTCTCTGATCATTTCATCTACTTCTTCATCTGTTAGTTTTTCTCCTAAGTTTGTCATGACGTGGCGTAGCTCTGCCGCACTGATGTAACCGTTGCCATCCTGTGAACATCAGCAATTGTTACTGACGGGCTGCTAGTGCTTCAGTGTGGGCAAGTACTTAATTACACCTTCTCAAGTTACTGCCAACTCCGCCTACATAGACGATTCTCTGATCTCCAGTTCCCACTTTTACCTACTGACTACAAGCCATCCGCAGAAAACATGGGGGGGCTGGGGAGGAAAGGGGAGGTATTTCATCGAAACAAATGTAAACTGACATACAAAAGAAATTGAAAGTCACAATCAAAAAACTTAGCTCAAAATTGCTCTGGTATGTAAAATGTAGTCCCCTTACTGGATAAGGTTACTATGTAAGTCAGGAGTCGTCTCACAGTGAGATTCCCAAGGCTGAGTACTTAGTTGGGTGTTCTAACGAGAACGGACCGCCCCAGCTTTCAGGTAACAGCCCAAGAAGCTCCACTTAGGCACCATCTGCAACGCAGGATTACCTTGTCAAAGACTCGGAATGCCTCGCGGATTTCTTCTTCGCTGTCTGTATCTTTCATTTTTCTAGCCATCATAGTCAAAAATTCTGGGAAGTCAATGGTGCCATTACCTCAAATAAAAAAAAAAAAAAACCTCACATAAAACAAGCGCTCCAGCAACACTACTCTGCAATAGTCATCTCAAGACCAATTTACAGGACCACAAGAACTCATCGGGACACACGGCCAAGTATTCTTATTAGGCTGAACCATCTGTAATTCTCAACTGCTCAAATACTTCACAGAGCAATTTCCTAAAAGTTCACAAAATTCAGCGCCAGGGCCCAAGACAGCACACCTCTGACCAACAGGCCCTGAGGGCAGCATGCAATACACGTGCAGCCCCCGCTCCCCAGGGAAGCAAGGACAGTGCGAAGCCACCTTCCCTGGGCAGCACCGCCACTGGGCCAACCTGTGCGCCCCGGCTCAGGATGCTGGGGAGGCCCAGATGTGGGCACCAGTCTTAGGTACAGAACATGGTTAGGGGAGAAAAGTTTCGAAAAGGGGAAAATTGACCCTGCTGTGTCTTCTCCAAGGAGCATCTCTCAGCCATGTTATGATAACTTACCAAATCATTTTCTCCCCAACTTGGCATCTTTATTTCCCATTAGGGCAAGGCTCTGAAGCATTCTCACAGCTCTAGTAGCATTTAAGAAACTACATCAGAAGAGGCTGCTCTACAGTTAAGTCTAACAAACTCCTCCTCCTCCAAAACTACGAGTTAGATGAGCACCGAAATTCAGGCCACTAGACAGTGTTGTCACTTGAGTCAAATGAGAAACATTAGACGAAAAAAAAAAACAAACCCTAGGGAAGTTACCCATTTCACGCATTCCTATCCATCAGACCAATTCACAAATCCCTTCTAGTCCTTGGGCTCCGGAAGCAAAGTCCTTGCAAAGCATCCCACAGCCCTGCAGACAACGAGCACCACAGCGCCACATTTCCCCACTGAACGCTCGGGCCTGTGGCTTGGACAGCATCTTCCCTCTCCTGCTCCCGCAGAGGCCGAGGACCCAGCGAACTGGGCCAGTCCCAAGGCCAGCTGCCCTGGGGCTTACACAAAACGGGAGTTGTTTCCGGGGTAGGTCATCGCAAGTCGGGGGCAGCCGAGAGAACTGTGAACTATTTTTTCTTCCAATACAATAAGGATGATGGCAATCTCTAACAGTAGCTCAGTGGGCTGAGACTTCAAAAGCTTAACCAAAACCCGAGCTTCTAAATGTATGTAACCGGACAAAGGTGCATCTACTTTATCACCTTGGTTTCTAAGTGGCCACTTATATCAAGCCTAAACCCAAACCATTTATTCTTGATTCCCCTTTTTAAGATTTGCTGTGTTCAATGGCCTATCTATAAGCACACACACGTGGTCTCCCAGACACGGTGCAGGACAGGCCGTGCGCAAAACCGCTCACAGACGGGCGCCGGCAATCAAAGGCCTGTGGCCCCCAATGCCACAGGACTGGATGACGGAACATGGCCAGCTACTCCAGGGGTTACTGCTTGTCCCTCATGTGCCTTCCCTCCTTTAGTTCTGTAGATGTCTTCCCAACAGTCACCAGGTACCCACCCCACCTACAAGGGCTCCACTATCCTCTAAGAGCTCTTCAATAAACACATCTGCAGCTGACACTGTTCTCAACTCACATTAACATCCAAGCATGCTGTTCACCTACTTCACTGGGGTTCTTCCTTCTCAAGAGGCAAAACAAACTTTTTAGGCTATTTACTTTTGTTTCCCCACAGGACTCAGTACAGACTCACAGGCCAGTTGATAAAAACAGACTGAGCTGTAGGTCACGGCAAGTTGAGAAGAACAATATAGTGATCCTATCCAGGAAATGTTCTAGACAGTGAGCAGGGCGAAAGGCAGGCCCACACCTCTCATGGTAACTGTCAATGGCCCTAAGGCAACCACAGAAAGGTTGCTCTGCTCTGGGGACCTGAAAGACAATCAGGTAACATGTCTAAACTTGAATTACACAACCTGGTGCTCACTCAGTTCTGAAGCCCTTACCGTCAGCATCCACTTCGTTGATCATATCCTGCAATTCAGCTTCTGTTGGGTTCTGACCCAGTGATCTCATGACAGTTCCAAGTTCCTTTGTTGTGATGGTGCCATCACCATCTTTGTCAAATAGGGAGAAAGCTTCCTTGAATTCTGGAAACAAAAGTTTACCTCTTAGAATGAATGTCTTTCCCATCCCGGCCCCAGCACTCACGTCCCTGGTGCTTGCCAAAGCCAGCCAGCCAAGTCAGACAAGCTATCGGAAGTGGCCTGGTCTTTTACAGCAGAAATAAAGCTGAAAGTCTGTTGGACTGGAGTTGCTACAGAAAGCAAACACTGCTCCTGGTAACCAGCTCCTTAAAACCACAATATTCTGAACATTTTCAAAGAGGGCTACCGTGGAACACACTTTCATCAGTCCTAAATCCAATCTGACCAGTGATGATCAGCCCACATGTCCCCATAAGGCTCCTTCCTGCTAGATTCTACAGCACAAGCAGCCTTGTTTCATAGCAACATGAAAAGGTTACTATAAATGTACCTTCCAGGCAACCAGTGTGCTCTCCACATGGTGCTTGGAATATTTCAAAAAGCATTTCTGGTTTCCTAAAGAGAAACCGTCTAAAAAAAACAAGGATGCTCAAAAAATTAAAAAATAAAAACTAGGGGCCTCCCTGATGGCACAATGGGTTAAAGCCCAGCACGCTGAGGCTGTCCACACCCACCACACTCAAGTTCGATCCCCGGGCAGGGAGCTGACCCCACATGGTGCAGCTTCTCCCATCTTACCCGCTGCTCCCCTCAGCAGTGTATTTCAGTAGATCTGCCTGTTCTGCTCCCTATTCTGTCTCTGGTAAATCCTCTCACCTCCCCCACAACCCTGGCCTGCACTCCGATTTTGTATGGATCTTTTTTTTTTAAAGATTTATTTATGCATACAGAACTGTGGTACAGGCCAGAGGTGCAGGGGCGGCAAGAGGCTTCACCGGAGACAGAGCGGGGAGCAGAACAGGCCGACTGACAAAGTACACTGCTGAGGGGAGCAGAGGGCTGGTCAGGAGAGGTCTGCGGCGCCCTGTGGGTCACCTACAGGGCAGGAATGCTGAAGTGGCTTTAGCTTCTTAGTGCTGTGCTTTAACCCACTACGCCGCCAGGAAGGGCCCATATGGATAAATTTCCCAAAAAGTAATAAAAATAAAAACTAGGGCCCTCCCTGGTGGCGCAGCGGGTTAAATCACAGCACAGAGAATCTAAAGCCGTTTCTGCATGAGTTCGATTCCCGCCTGCCCCGGGAGGTGACCACATGGTGTGGCAGACCTCTCCTGACCTGCCCGCTGCTTCCTTCAGCAGTGTATTTCAGTAGATCTGCCTGTTCTGTTCCCTGCTCTGTCTCTGGTGAAGCCTCTCACCGCCCCTGAGCCTCTTGCCTGTACCCCAATTCTGTATGCACAAATAAATCTTTAAAAAAAAAAAATAAAAAATAAAGCCTAAATTAATGTAACTCCTTTCCCAGTCATTTTAATAAACTGAACACTTATTTACTCCTTTTTACCTATTCCTATTTACTACAGAATCCGAGCACAATTTTTCATGGCGGATTACAAGACCTGAGGCATAACAATTCAAGTATGTTTTTGAGTAGTAGCACAGGGCAATCTCATTAAATGCAAAGCCTCTCACAGAGCATAACAAGGGTATTTTTGGTTCCACTTCTTTTCACAGTATCATCTCCAAAATACTGGCAAGGAGGAACACCTGACCTAAGTATTTCTGTTTATTGTTCTCATGTAAATAACATTCTTAGAAAACTGCTCAGAGATGAAGGAGACTGAGACTGACCAAATACTAAGTTATGCAGGGTTCTGGTATGCAGGGGACCCCAGAAGTTAATCACTTACCGGCAATCTGCTCTTCGGTCAGCTGATCAGCCTATATGGAGAAAGAAGAGGTTATCATTCAGTCCACAACAGCTCGACAAAGAGCAACATCCTTTTCCCATTAACACCTTTAATAAGCGATCTTTCAAAAAAAGTCTTCAAAAAAATGTATCAACCACTTGAAAACTTTCCACTGTCGTTTAACGAAAACACTTAGAAAAGGGCACCCTTTATGACATTATAGAAACAAAAGGAGAACAAGGAAGTGACATCTCGCTCCAGACTTTTCTAGGCCTGTGGCTGTGTGCCTTGAGCGTTAAGCAGGGTCAGTTCATAGTCTGAAAAATGGCTCCTCTAGTGGCACAAGGCCCCATGGCAAGGCTGCAGCCGCAGCAGGCTGAGAAGGAAGAGCGCCACCTACTGAGCCACGGTGGCCGCAGTCCCCACTGCCGGCCAAAGGAGCCCGGCGGACAGCAGCCAGGCTGCGTCCAGGGCAGGCTTGAGCACACCTTGCGCATTGCCGTGGGCGCGCCAATCTCCAAACTGGGGTTACATAATGGCATTGGTTGGATTAACATGCTCTTATTTCCACTTCATGAGATATAATTAAGAGGAAAAAATAAATATATAGCAATAGGTTACCCCACCAACTCCACTTCCATGTAATAAATGCTTTCCAATCATCTGAATCAGGCCATTATTTGTTAGCCTACCAACTACAATGGCTGGTGCCCTCTGTCAAATTATACTATGATTCAGAAGCCAGAGGGAAAAAACACCCACACTGCAAAAATTTAGTACAGTGAAAATTAAATAACTATGGCACTACATCCTATCTTTTCTGGGTAACTTTGCTGGAAAATATTTACTCCCCCCACTTTAGAGGATGACATAAGAGCTGTAAGTAACAAACACTTCGTGGGAGGGGTAATGACCAGGAAGGTAATTCTCACTTGCATTATTTGGTCTCTGCAATGCCAAGGCTGTGCCTCCAGTCAGGGGAATTGAGATCTCAAAGAGAGCTAATATGATTTTGATTTTAATGAAGGACGCCTAACGAAGTCAGCTACAAAATAAGTTCTAACGAACCTGATGATGTTAAATTATCTAACTCTTGAAACTCTCACAAAAGGAACGGTGGTTAATAAAATGATGGGGGGGCCTTTTCTTTCAAATTAGAACTGGCTCACCCTTTCTATTCCAGTCACTGCAAGATGGTTTTCTTTATATCAAAATTAGACAAGATGATTTATGTAACGCCAGGGAAACGACTGTCTTGTACAACAGGAAGCGCTGCCACACCTCGCAAGAAAAACTGTCACCTTATGGGGGAGGCCAGTCCCATCTCCCCGCAAAACTCCTCACAGGGGCTGAGCGTATCAATCAGGCTCAATGAATACAATCCCTCTCCCCCAAAGAAAAACCATCTTTGGGGTCAAAGGTGCTCTGAACCTGCCAAGAGCCATCTCCCCGCCCGCCGAGCCCAAAAATGCTGTGGGTGATGTCAGCCCTGCCAGCGAGGGAGGAGAGGGGCTGTGGAAAACACACCCAGCGAGGCGCACAGGCGCATCTGGCAATCTAGAAGGCTGCAGAGAAAGCGGAAACGCGGAGGGCATCTCCCAGAGAGCTGGAAGTGGCAGAACCGGGGCAGGGGAGGGCGACACGCGGGCGACGGTCTGTGCAGGGACGCGCGTCCCAAGAGCAGGCTGGGTGCAGAGGGGCGAGGCGGTGCAGAAGTGAGGGCGCCGCCTCTCCCTGGCCAGAACGACCCCCGACTCCCACCCAACTGCCTCTGGAGCTCTGCGGCGGGCGGGGCCGAGTCCGCCCCCACCTCCCACCCGCTTCAGCTCCCCCAGGCAGCCAGTCGGCCGCGCGGCCACCTCCTCCCGGAGCAGAAACTTTGCGTCTCTAATGGAAACCGAGCCGCGCGCCAGCTCCCTCCTCCCCCGCCCCCCCCCGCCCCAATTAGCGCTAGCCGAATGCCTCCCGCGGGAAGGGGCCCCGGGCGTACCCAGGCTCCAGCACACCTTCGCTACCGCACGGGGCAGGGGGCTGCAGGGGGCGCGTAAGGGGGAGACCAGAGCCCCGGCCCCACCGCAGGGCCCCACCCGGGCGCAAGGCTGCCGGCCCGCGCTTCCGCCCTCTCCGCCCCCCACCCCTCGCCTTCCTGCCCCCACCCCACCCTTCCCGGCTCCTTCCTTCCCAGCCCACGCCCGCGCCGCGCCCCCCGGGAAGGAGGAGGGGAGAGTGTGGCAGAGGGAGGACGCCCAGCCAGGGCGGCGGGCGGCGGGCGCTGGCGGCGACCCCCCACACCCAGCCCGGGGCAATGTGCGCAACCGGCTCGCCCGCCCCATTCATTCTTCCCCGGCCACTCCGCCAGCCACCTTCCAGCGGGTGGGGGCAGGCGGGGAGC